CCAGAATTGCTCAGATTTTTGGACCCACATTTGGAGTCGCGCAAACCGATATTGCAAGGCCTTTGAGGCCTCACTTGCGGAGGTTCGAGGCCTTCCGAGGCCCCCCCGAGGCCTCACTCATGGGGTTTCGAGGCCTTCCGAGGCCTCACGAGGCCTCAACAAAATCCCAAAACCCCTTTAGCTTGCAAGATTACAAGGCCTCGGGGACCCGGGCTTATAATACTATTAAACGGGTCCCCGCAAGGCCTCGAGCCCGGACAAACCCTGGCTGCCTCTTCCATGTAAAAGACAAAAGAATTTTAAGCCGCGGCTGGCTCCAAGTCCTCTTCATTCTCTATTCAAAACGTCACGACAGACCTCGAAGGGCCTCGACCGCTTAAGATGATCCTGCAAGCTATGTCGTGCTGCCGCAAGTTTTAATTTCAGACTTCTCGACGGGCCTCAAAAGAAGCCTCGATGATCCTGAGCTTTCCAAAAATTTCGACGGGCATGAGAAAGTCCTGAAAAGCCCTCTGCATGACATTGCAAGCTGATGTTGATCTCCATCGGGCAAGCAAACTATATCGCGCCCTGCTCAACTGGAGGAGGCCTCGGACCGGCCTCGAGAAGCTTCGAAACCTTCAGCAAAGTCTGAGGCTCAAAGATGACGTTGCGTGCAAGCCAAGTGAACGCTCCCAACCATTTAAACCTCAACACGCCCTTCAATGGAGAAAACAAACTGACGTTCACAAGGCTTCTGCCGGAGGCGTCGGCCTTCCCTATATCTTCATCTTCATTGGGCGCATGGCAACTTAAGTTCCTTGCCGGTGCAACACGCGTAAATATCTTCGCTGTTCAAAACCCAAGCCGCCAAGAGTTTCAGTCTGCAATGTCTGGCAAGTGACGCTGCACAACCACAGAAAACGTTGAAGCCGCGTTGGTCAACTTCCCAGAGACTGAAGCGTGACTCCTATCCACAGAAAAAACCAGCAAGACCTGCAGCTCAGCTGGGCCTGCCAGGGGAAGCCCAAAGTTACGGGGCTGTCGGGCGACCCCACTTTCAGGCCCGCAAAACACAAGCAATTCTGGCTTCGCCAGGATGGGCCTCCTAGTACTAGTAGAGTTGACTCGGACCGATGAGCATACAACGGTTTTCTGTCCATATTGTTACTGACAGAAAGCTCCGCCACAATGACGATCACAACAGGTGGGAACAGCACCGCGGGCCGAAGCGAAGAGGCCACCGCAGGGCGAACTGACAGTGTCATCAGAGCATCACCCCAACTCATGGCTTCACCGAAAAGCTGCCCCTTGCAGAGCCAGTGTGCTCATTGCTCAGAGGAAGTACCCATACCTTTGCCAATTTCCACATGCCAGCAGAAAGGCAGAACAAGCAATTTTTATTGTGCGATGAAGAAAGTCATGCTTTCTGATGCCTTCAGGCTTTTAGGCTCCCAAAGCTGCCCCGATCATCCCGCCAAGGTTCCAGTTGTGCGTGATGTACGAAGAGGGCCACAGCCGCAGCCTCCACCAGGTCTGAGAGAAAACAAAAGGACACAAAAACAAAAACAAACACGCTGAAAGGTGATCCCAAGGAGAGAGCGCAACGCTCTCTCGGTTGCCAGGCTGCCTCCTGAGGATTGTTTGGCGGCCGCGCGCCGTCTGCGTAAGCCTGGACATGCGTGTTTGTAGACGCGGGAGCTTGATTGAGGTGCTTGATTCGCTGGTGCCATCGGGGCCAGGACCGCGCCACCTGCTAACTATGCAACTTTTGGCAACTCTTTGCAACTCCATGAACACAAGTACCCCGAAACTCCTAAACGAAACCCTCTGAAGTCAACTGCTCCAATAAGCGTGAGCTGGTCTGCCTCGCGTCCCAGACCGTCGGGCTCCTTTTGACCTTGGAATTTTGGTTTTTCAATCATGTTCTAAATTTTGAAGGCTCTTTAAGTGGGCCCCCGACAGGTCAACAAGAGAGGCTATTGCCTGCTCAACGCCCACACTCAACAGGCAAGGCCAATGGCCCCTGTTGGGGCTTAGTACCGGCTTAAGATGGTTCAGGCCGTTGAGGCCATTTAGGGACAACAGCACCTACAGCTCAGCTCCATGCAACCAACCCCACACTTCCCTCACCCAATTGAGGTGGGCTGCGCTTCTGCAGCACCACCTGCGCCAGACTCTGAGAGTGCTTTGCAATTTTGTGACCAGTACGGCGTTAGCATGATTCGCAGCTAAGTAGCATTGCAAAAGGGACGGGCGCGACTTTCATGTCAGCGACATGGGATCATGCCTCGTCGTGCCCCGAACCACAAGCCGCAAAGCCTGGGAGCCCTTGGAGACAACGCGGACCATGTCGTACAGAGGCAGCGGGGGCTCACCCAGCACCTTGCTTTCCGGGGCTGTTGCCCCAGGCGAAGCTAGCTCAAGCTACAGAAGTCGTCTCGGGATATCCACAAGCCCAACCTCCCCCGATACCACAGCGACTTCTCAAAGCAGGACCCCAACCAGCGAAGGCACTGCAGACACACGACGACACAAAAAGATCTCGTGAGCATTCGGGATATATCATACTTTCATCCCGTAGTGACGATATGAACCTGAACCAACCGAAGCGTTGCCAAGGAGCCCGGTGAGTGTTATCAAGCACCTGCCTGGCAGCATTGTCCACACAGGACGTGTGTAGAAACAAGAGCGTAGCGTACTGAGGAAAGACGGTCTCCGACTGCGACAATAGAGGTGCACGGTACAAGAGGTACCACACTAAGCCACTGCAACAACAAGACGTAGTAAAGGCTCGTTATGTTTTTCTTCTCTTGTAGGAGTTACTTCTGTAAGAAGTCCGACATCAGCTGCTGAACATTTGGTGAGGGCTGGTGCGTCGCGCCTCATCCTCCGAGCGACCTCGGAAGCCTTGGAGAGACCAGAGGTCGCAGCACAAAAAAATGAAAAAAAAAAATGAAAAGAAGAAGAAGAAGGACAGTTGTCGGCTGTCGGCTTTGCATGGGCTCCTTAGGGGCAGCGGTTCTTCAGGCTTTATAAGGCCGCAGGAGTTGTCACGGTCCTACCCCACTCACCTATTGGCTTCGTGCGCACTGCGCTCTGACGATTCTCTCGTGGTCGTTGCTGGTTCTCCCAACTTGTTCTCCCCTTCTTTGGGCCTCTCAGTGCTCTGCGAATGCTTGCTTTTAGGCTTTCCGGGAGCCTTTCACGCCTTTCAGCTGCAACTTCAGGTCACATTCGCACACACACAGCAGGCGGGCGGGCAAGGATGCTCGCTCCTTTCCCCCCCTGAAAACAAATGTGCGTTGCTGAGGCCAGTGCGACCTGAGACAGTAGCTGTTCAAGGTGCCCTACTTTGCGTGCCCAGTCGCCGACTTGAGCGATCGCAGCGTGTCCTTGCGGCAAACTGAGCAACCTTACCTGAAGCACTATATCCGGGCAACCATCCTGGTCGAACAATCGGACCCGCAATTCTTCATCATCCCTCCATCTGTTGGAATCTGTGGATTCGTGCGAAAGTTGCTACAGTGGCCTGTTGCCCGAACACATCTGACTGCCTGAGCAGGTTTTTGAGAAGCGGTTCATCCGTACACTACTCGAATCTGCTAACGACCCACGTGCGCTTAGCGATCAGCCTCGAGTCTCCAGGCGAGCTATGAAACACAGGATGGACGTTTCCAACCAGGCTTACAGTCCTGCGTCGCCGAACTGCCAAGGCGCACCTCCTTTGCGCGGTCCTGCCGGCGAGTCTGGAATGCCCTAGAGCCTCAAGACCAGTTTAGAAGTACGGTTGTCCATAGAGCAACTCTTTGCTAGCTTCTTCAAGAGCTACTCAGCTACTGAGAGCAACGGGCAAGTCAATCCGCTGGCACGCATTCCAAGACCCTATGCTTGAACACATCCACTTGCAGATACAAGCAGGGCTTACATTTCTGCCAAAGCTTGGGAAGTTTCCACACGGCTCAGAGCTTCAGGTCTCGCCTCTATAAATAGACATTTGCACAAGGCTGTAGCGCAACGCGGCTTCTATGTAGGTCCGGACATCATGGGACCTATCATGACACATGATTCGCCACAGTGCGTTGAGCCCATCCTGTGATCCTTTGGTCGCGGGGTCCTCTTGGACCTCTGTGGAATTGCACCCGCCCATGGCTCACGCAGAGATGCAGAGGGTTTTTTGCAACTTAAGCAGAAAGCTTATTGTCTCTGTGTTAGGCAGTCTGACAGTCTGATCAACTTGTCATCCCCATTTTCAATTTTTTTCAGAGGGAGGTCTGGGGAGACCCCAGTTTTGTTGTTTCGAAGGTGGTCTTTTGAACATCCTCGGCTGATGCGCTGAGGTCTACTGTGGGCAGAAAGCTTGCCGCTGTAGATGCGTGTTCCGAGTATATGTTGCTGGCTGTTCGCCCGTGCTGTGTATCGAAGCAGCTCGGTCATCCAAAAGTCAGCTTCTTCGTGGATAACGAGAGAAGGGCAGCAAGACGTGCAAACAAAAAAATCTAGTTCAAACTAGCAGAAACCGCCGTCAATGAACTTATTTACTTCGGCCGAGCCCTATAAGACTACAAGACTAAGCTGCACCGGCACTCTCCCGAAGCGCTAAGCTGATGGCTTGCCTGGCAATAAGGACCCATGCCCTTTGAACTGGAATTTCACATTCTGAGTCTTGAGTATCATGAGATCGGCGCGCCACCAGTCCCGAATACCGGACCGTACTAACTTTTGGTGTTTAGCATGGCAGATTGCCTCTTGTGTTCCGAACAGCCTGGAGCTCCCACAGCCCCCCACCTCCCCGCCCCACCAAAGTAACGTTGGGACCCCTTCTTTTCATTTCTTGGCCCAACGACTAGCAAGGAGACCCCCAGATTTCAGTCTGGCCCGTTCCCACAGCCGCCCAACACAAAAAGGGCGCTGTTCAGAAACCTTACCTTCATGGAACAAAGCCACCATAATTGAACAGGTAAATCTTTGGTACCTTCTTGCGAAATGGGAAGTCCGCAAGCCAATCTCGAGGCCCCGACAGAGGAAAAACGTTGCTTTGGCTTCGAACTCCTCCAGCAAGTCCTCTCACAATCCAGAAGGCTCTCATCGGCTCTTCGAGTCAGAAATGGGAGTTTATCTAGTTCCCTTGACCACACAAATCTCACATCAACACCTGCGAACCATCACCCAGTGCCGAAATCCCATTCAACCTTCAGACCGGTTTAGGTCCTGGCTTGCGTCAGATTCCTAGCTTGAAGCACACCATGACTCCGGGGCTTGCACGCCCTATGCTTGGAAGGACAGAGGTAGTTGCGAGTCAAGTTCTAATTTACCAACTAACACCCCACTCCGTAAACGTCACACAGCACCCATTGAAAAGATCCGTGAAGCTCCCCATGCAGTGCACACAAAGAGCCAGTATGCCCAACAACAGCCCTCGGAATCTCTCCGCTGTCCAACTCTTCCTGGCTTGCCCCCGCATGTTCGGACAAAATTGGAGCCCGATCGACCGATCGAGATGAAGCGAAAACAGCAAGTGGAAGCATGGTGGCACAGGCCGGCGCAGAAACCCTGTCTCTTCTGTTTGTGCTCTACACACCTCAGCCCATCTAGGCCCTCTAGGCATGCTCTCGACTTGAAATCCTGGACCATTGATGAAACTCCAGGTGTCCTTGACCTCCACCAACATTGCAGCCTGCGGATCACGCTGTCGGCACGGGGCATCATCCACCTCATAGCTTCACGCCGAAGGCTTACCCGGCCTATCTCTTACTAACTTATTATTCGTAGAGCCATCTTGTCGCCTCAGGGCCTGCATTCAGAGCTGAAAGACCAACGAAGCCAAAGTCGCCACAACGCTGCTCAGTTTCTGGTCTCCCGAGTGGCTGCCACGTCTACCCTTTCTAACCGTTTATACATCTCAGGGCATCCGAGTCGCAGTGAGCGCCACCAGGCCGCGCACCCCCGGGAAGTCGGCTGGACATCAAGTCGACAGAAATTTTAGAAGGTGTAAGAAACTAAGGCAAAGCAGGCACAATGCATCTGCAATCTGCTACTGTACATCCTTTCAGATTCAGTCGAGGACAGAGTCAACGCCTTAACTATCCTTGCTTCTGCTTGCCTGTACGAGGATGCTTGAAGGAGGCTTCAACGACTAGACTAAGGAAGGCTGCACAGATCCTTCTGGACATCAGTTGAGATCTTGGGTTTCGGGCCGAGCGGTGGAGGTTGTGCAGATAAAGCCATAGGCCATAAACCACTTAGGGCAATGGCGGCTGGAAGGCTGAAGATGTGACACCAAAAGGCTCAATGAATACAAGTGGCTGGTGGGCTGGGGACCTTCAAAACCCCTAACAAATACAAGCTGAGAACTGTTTGCATTGGCCTCCTGCGTTCTCTATGCGAGGCCTGCATCGTAGTAGCAAAGCGCACGAGGGTCAAGCGCCTGAGCCGCGAGAGGAGTCCTTTGAGGCTTAAGAAACGGAAGAGCCCATGTAGGATGATCCTCTTCGGCTGTCCTGCACTTCGCATCCGCATGCCTGAAACCCTGTGCAGCCAGTGCCGAGAAGCCAAAGCGAAGTTTCGAGTGCTGACCATCTTCGTTGCAGCTTTGACCAGCGCTTTGTTCCTGGGGAATCCGATTTCGCATGTTGACCTCCCCGTTTCTCATGTCATGAAGTCACCCTGATCTCGGGCAAACAAATGAGGACCTGATAAGCCCGCTGATTCAGGCGTTGGGATCACTAAGTCACGAAGTGTCTTACCAGAAAAGAAAAGGCCGAGTTCGTCCTCGTCTTTCACCGCAGGACGTAACATAAGAAAAAGCCGGACTCAAAAACAATCGTCCCAGCAGCAGGCGCGAAAGAAGTTCACCCTGCTGCATGTCCTGAGATCGGGCCACAGATGTTGCATCCAGTCAAGGGCAACTTTGGTGTCTGCACCACACATCAGGCGCTTGCAGTGGCTTGCAGCAAGCAGCTATGTCCATGCCAAGCCACAGCCTTACCTTTGAAGGTCTGAAGTTCTTGCGACAACTCCTGACAAGAGCTTGCCGACACTTCGAGCCGTCAAAAAACTCACAGCCTCCTTTACTTATGCAGGCATTGCATTGCCGCGTTGGCCCTGGACGATGAGCAGAAAGAAGCCCTCTGCATTTGACTGGGCAATCGAGATATCATTGTTTAAGCGCTCAAGAAGCACTCAAGGCTGCCTGTGATTAAATTTCCCTGAGAGCCGACAGTGCCCACGCCCATTGAACCATGAAGTCCCATGAGGTCTCCTGATGTCCCATGTCCGACACCCCCGAGCCCACAGAGCCCACAGCCACTCCTGCGCCTTTGCAGAGAGGTGGAAGCGACGATCCGCAGCCGCGACCTCCAAACTTCAGAGATTCAACTGCAAAGCCCTATGAAGGGTTTTTCAAAGCCCGCCATCTTACAAGCCAAATGGACTCTTTCAAGGCATTCTTTTTTGTATCCGAGGCTGCCCCCGAGCACTGTGAAAGCCACGAAAAACCTTTTGAAGGTTCGGGCGAGACGACGCGCGTCGGAGCCTTTGTCGAGTCGCGCCAAATGAAAACCCCTGGGAGCCTTGTTGGGGAGGCCACGCAGGATGTTTTCAAGGATTTCGGGTTTCGTCATCTAGGGGTTTAGGGTTCACAGTTCAGGGACCCTGGAAAGCTCCAGAAGATCTTGCGTGAGCTCCCAGCACAGCTTACCACAGGTGAGTCATTTGGGCGCTCTCTGCACCCTCCAGCAGTTGAACTGCCAGCCGCCGCTGGCCACCTTGCTCCTCAGCTCACCAAGCAGAACTTCTGCAGCTCTAAGCTCTAAGTGTCGTGAAGGCGCAACAGAAGCCAGCACTCAGAACAAAGTCGGGGCGCGCATGCCAAGACTGCCCATGTGGCGGTGATAGCGTTGGGCGCAGCGTGGGCCCTCACATTGTTCAGTCATGAGTTTGCAGGCCATCAGGTAGCAAGGGCCCCATTTAGCCCCCCCGCCCCCCCTTGGGGGCCTCGGCATGGCGGCGAAGAGCGCCAGCGCCAGCTGCCACTGCCATGTGGCTGTCAAGGAGCCCATCACAGCGGTAAAGCTGATGGTGGTCGGAACCTGGACCGCTGACGAATAATTTCTCTTGAGATTAGCGCTGTTGTTGTCCTCACTCATTGCTGCGTACCCACCCTGAGTCAGACATTGTTCCGGTTTGCACCTGATACCCATACATATACACATGTATCAGCATACATATGTGCATACATATGTACACTATATGCCCATGTACATGCACGGTCAGAAGGATGTGGCAAGCAGGGCCACCTCATCCATGGTGGCAAAGAGCCCCAGTGCCAGTTGCCACTGGCTCCCTGCGGCCAAGGAGCCTGGGAGCGGACAACGCTCTCTGAATCGGGCGGATGTGAAGAAAAACCGAAGAGAAAGGACTTCGGGCCTGCGTTTTGAGGGTTCGCATTTCATCCTTCAGACTCCTCCATCCCTCACCCCCTTCAGCCATGCAGCTGATAGTGGCGTTGTAGCTGATGACGTTGGGGCGAAGCCTTGCCTGAACAATCACCACACGCCTTTCCTTGCTTGCGGGCTGAGGCCACATGGCCGCGCAATGGATCCAAGTGGCCCTGTTCGGATCTTGGCTACAGATGTGCTCCCAAAGGCTCCCTTGTACATGGCTCCTGCCTGAAGCAAGTCGCCGAACAGCTTGCAGGCCCGTTGCCAGTTGCCAACTTTTTCCATGGAGCCTGGCGATGCGAGAGCTCTTTTGACGGGCTCTAAAGCTAAAGCTCACATCATGGTGATACTGTGATACTCTCCAAACGCCCAGGTCAAAACCCTCTTGCAAGGGAACCAGAGAAAGCTGCTCTGATTCATTGCATGCTACTGCCCCACTGGCCCACCAACAGCTGCAGAGAAGCTGATAGCGGCACTGTAGCTGATGATGTTGGGAAGGATATGTTCCTCCAGTGGCTTTGCAATGCCAGAGGAGAGCAGCAACATGTCGCCATAGGCAGCACAGCCGGAACCGGCTTCCAAAAATCACAATTGCAAAAAAAAATCTTGCCGGCCTGCAGCATGGCGGCCAAAAGGGCCAAGGCCATCTGCCATTGCCAGCCCTGTGCAAGAAATACATACTGGCATGCAGCGGCATGCAGCATTCAACAGATGGAAGAGGAGCAGCTGCAAGGAACCGACATTTCGTCAATCGAGATTTCGTCAGGTCGGAGCCAGCGCAGACACCGTGCCACAGAGTAAAACAGAGCATGAAAAGAGGTGTGCCGACTCCTTGGCCCTGCGCTGCACGCCTTCTCGCAGGCGCTGATGCAGGCATTGTAGCTGATTACCTCGCCACAGTAAAGGTCAAGACCCTTGTGGCCCTCATGAAATCACCAATTCTCTTCCCACATCGCAAGCTCACGAAGGCCTGCCGCCCAAGTTGCACTGGGAATGAATTTGGATGCAACCTTCGAGAGCAACTGCAGTGCCAGCTGCCTTGACACAGCGCAGCTGCTCTCTAATTAATCTCAGGCGCTGAAATGTGCAACTGACGCAACGGCCTTTGCAAAAAGCTGCTGGCTACAGTGAGTGGAGTAATCTGGAGAAGGGTCATCATTGAGTCCTAAGCGTGTCCAGCGCATGTCCTCATGCAGCGAAAGGGCCACTGCCCCCCACTCTCGCAGGCACTGATTGCAGCGTTATAGCTGATTACGTCCGGAGAAATCCATGCCTGAAGTTCAGTGATTCCAGCTACGACTCACACTCCGAATGGACCGCATGCCCTACCATGCCGGAAAGCTCTGCTCTGGGCCATTCTGGGCGTTGTCAGCTCAGGCTTGCGACTGCTTCAGGAGCCTCCGGCATCGAGCTCAACAAACGTAGAGCAAGTGGTGACTGTCCGGCCTGGTTGGCGGCAGCACGAAAGACCTACATCATCCTACATCTCCTCACATGCGAAGAAGTAGCGACGTACTCCAGGGTATCCAGGTTTCTCAGTTTCTCACGGTTTCTCCGAAGCTCCGACCTTCTCACAGGCGCTAATGCAGGCATTGTAGGTGGTGGTAGTTGGTTCCAAGCCGTCCTCACAGGACAACGAGCTTTGCTTCACTGGTCTCAAAACCTTTAGCGATCGCAACAGATGCCCATACCTTCAAAATTTCTCACACGTGTGCAAGGCCTCTCACGGCGACACAAAGCAAGAGGCCCCGACATTTGAGATTAAGGCTCGCGCCTGATAGGATGATGCGAGTAGATATAGGGCCATTTGCCACCGCGCCCCTTTCTCGAAGGCACTGATGCACCTGATGCTAGCTTGGGTTACAAGTGCCCTTATCTTCGCTGCTACCGAGCCTATACATACCTATCCGACGGAGGTATGTATGTCTCACAGAGCCACTTAGAAAATGTGGCGCATCTCCCAGAAGATCTTCGAAGTGGTTGCAGCTTGCATCGCCCGACCCAGTTTGGGTTCCACCGAAAAAGGAACAAAAAAAGAGGAGGCCAGGAAATACGTGCGTTCATACACGCCTCCCTCCCCCTCCCCCCCGAGCACACTCCTGGTCGGACCGGAAAGAGGTTGCTTAATCGAGCGTGGTCCCGGCAAACATGCACTTTCTCGGAAATGCCCTCACGGACTTATTGGACACAAGTGTCAGAGCTTACAAACGCAGTAGACAGACATTGCGCAGCGAACCTGCCTAATGGGTTAGGTGCAAAGAAAGTTTGCAAAGTACGAGCAGTATTTACACTGAACCACTCAAGCCTGGCACGTTCGCGAAACTGTTGGATACTAATTCGAAATGCGTTGCGCTGAGGGACCAAATAGAGTTGCTGAAGTACCCAATGTCGCAAAACGACATGGTGATTCCCCATTCAGCAAGGACTCAACCGCGCAGTGCAAGACTGCAAGACAACTCATCCCCCATGCACGCATCATGTCCGTGCAAGTGACATACACAAGAATGCAACATGGTGCTATCGCGGCACGCGTTGATGCACACCACATCTGGCCGGACACCTGCCCGGGATGACCACTCTTCCCAAGTCAAAAGTTACCAAACCTTTGGAGGGTCTGGCCGGGGCGTCTTGTGGTGGACAGTCATGTAACGAGAACTGCCCACGTGGAAAATGCTCTCGGCTGGTTCCTAGTGAAGATGTGGGCTCTTCTTCTTTTGTCACCCGCCTAGCTGACTGCTATTGCCCGCAGGGAGAACTCGAGCGATAGTGGGACTAACTATGACTCCAGGGTTTCGGGTTGAGACAGTCAATAAGCATCAGGGAAGGAAAATCTATACCAGGCCACTCTGCTTGTGAGAGTCGAGTATCCTAACCAGCTACACTGAGAGGATCTTGCTTTCCACTGCGAATGCCAAGTTCAAGCACAAACTCTCAGGTAAGGCCAAACTCACAGAACTGGATTTGGCAGAAGCCCCTGATTACTATCCAAGCGCCCAGCTAGACTATTGCGGCCCACACCAGGCCACTCTGCTTGTGAGAGTCGAACATCCAGCTATCTTGCTTTCCATTTGAATAGCAACGGTATAGCAACCGTGGACTACGGCTGTTCTGGGACCGGAGCCCACGACTGCCAGCTTCAACTGTGAAACCCACTCCCTTTGAGGACTTGAGCCGCCCTCTTCTTGCTTGTTGCACGATACTGCGAAGGACGAAGGAAGGCCGCCCTGGGCAGTACGCGTGGTCGTTCGTCTGCCCATCAAGCCACACCCATCCACAAAGCGAGAAATCAAGAATCCGTTGTGCTGAGCACAAGACCAAACACAAGCGACAAGATACGCAGGAATGATTACACTCCAAGGGCACTCCAATAACCCTTGAGGCCCGTGTGCAGACCTCAACCTGAACTTGGGCCCAGGTGCTTTCTGCGTACATGGATCCAAGAAGGTGCAGCGCCAGCTGCCAGTGGCCGGCCTTCTCACAGGCGCTGATGACCTGAGCGTGCACCCGATTCAGGTTTCATCCCCTACTGCAGGTGTAGCTGTGTACAGGCGGCGGAGATCTTGCCTTTGGATTTGAGGAGGTTGTACAGACTCGGCCAGCTACACTGCTACTGTACTCCAATGAGGGCAATGCTGCGATAACAGGGGCGCGCTGTTGGGGTCAGGCGTTGAGCTCAAACTATGTGAGTTGTAAAATAAAAACTCGTTGTGAATCTGACGAGCCACTGCGCCGAAGGTGATGATGCTGCGTCGAAGTTGTGCTTCCTGCCATGCTATTCCAATGATGAAGTTCGCATATCAGAATAGCGTACGAATAAGCTATAGCCTGCTGTGTCTGCAGATCCCGAAGGGATGGCCGACGTAACGGGATCGAGGTTGAGAACGGAGTCCCAGCAGCACTTACGGCATTCTGCAAGAGCGGGCATTGGCCTCCAGCGAGCAGAAAAGGCGCAGCGCCGCCATCCAGGCTGCGACCTGCCAGATCAGCAGATCTGTCGATTCTTATAAAGACTCACAGGGGACTCAGGGGACTCAAAAACTTCCCACTGGTGGCTTCCCACTGGTGTGCTTGCCCTCCTTCTCGCAGGCGCTAATGCAGGCGTTGTAGACAACCACCTCTGTTCATGGCACGCTCAGGGCTTCAAGGCTGAAGGCCACAGGGGCCATAGGGTCTCGGCGTTTTCGTTGGGACTCATGGATTCAACGGGGTCTATGCGGAGATCGTCATTTGGGGGCCAAAGCCTCTACACGGGCCGTGACCCCGGCATTGAAAGGGCACAGTCGCGCTTAGACTCGCTCTGGTCATGTCGGGGCACGTCCAGTCGGATTTTGCTCCTGGATGTTGCAGTGAGGTGGTCCAAAGCAAGTTGCCAGCGACCAGCCTCGGTGCTGGCAGGCAAGGCTTGAATCGGTTGGGCGTTGCGTTGGTAAGGATGATCTGAATCTGAAAGCTTTCCGAAAAACTCCAATCCTGAATGGACAAACGGCCCTAAAGTTTGGCTAAGCAGGGCTAAGCCTAAGCTCCCCCTTGGCGGGACTTCGCGAGTTTCAGAAGAATCGGGGGGCCAGCTTCTGCGGTATGGAGATCTACATGCGACCATGGTAAGAAGCAATGCCGAGAACTGTCTGATTCCCGCACCTTCTCGCAGGCACTGAGCATTGTGCTGCAGGTCACGGCGTCCGCTCGCACGGCGAGGGCCCCAAAGAGCCTGCTTGGCCCAAATATCGAAAGGCTTCGTCGAGAAAGTTTCGTGTAACTCACTGAAATCGTAAACACTATGACAGCACGGCGTATCAACTGTACTCTGGATCCTCTCCCTATGCGAGAAAGCGCTCCTTGGACCACAACCCCTTTGCTGTACCACTCAAGGAAGACCAAGGCGCCAATGAGCCCACGCCCACAGCGCGGTCACGCCGCAAGCGCTGAGGGCAACGCTAGCCACGATGGTGTTGGCCGAAAGCCTGGCTTTTGGATATGGACGACGTCTTTGCAGCTAGGAGGCAGCGGCTTGAGAAGCTTCGATTGAGTTCCCTCTGAGTGCCCTCAGCGGCTCGACTCTACTACGGCCCAAACCCTACGCATGGCCCGATGGCAGGCCAGCATTTGAGCGCAGCCCCTAAAAACACCTGTTTTGCTCACGCTTTGCCTTCTTTCTTTCTCCTGCGGGCCACACCTCACACTGCCCCTTCATGCTGTTGATGCTTCTTCCGGGCTTAGAGGCACTTACTTCATGACGCTTGCGTCTGCCGCGCTTGGCTGTTAGTAATTAATGCGAAGGGCGCCCAATGGACACCAGCCAGCGCAGGAGCGCTGGAGGAAAGATGAGAACCATGCGATGTGCAGTCGCACCTTAAACTCCTGAACCCGAACCCTGCTAGGAGCCTTGCCCTTGGCATATCACGAAGCAGCTGAAGCGAGCGCTGCCACTGATGGCCCTTCTTGAGGCCATTGATTGCTGCACTCCGGCCTGTCATGAGTTTTCGGGCATTCATCTGTAGCCGAAACGGCGGTTTAGTCGCTTCCTGCCACTAAGGTGTTGATTCGATTACGGTGCCTGTTTTTAAATACCCGGACATCTAAACAGTCAAACAGGTATTTCATACTACCTCCGTGGAGCGCGGCGTCAGGCCGCCCAGCGTTTTAAACATCCGGAAATAGACCCTCCAGCAAGCCTTCCCGCGCCCAGCCCCCCTCCAGCCAACACCCCCCCCCCCCACCAACCTCACAATCACCCAAACCCCCTCCAGCCAACACCCTCAAACCGCCCTCTCTCCAGCCCCCAGCCAAACACCCTAACCACCCCTCCAGCCAACCCCTCCAGCCAAACCCCACATCCTCCAGCCAACACCCCCTCCCCCCCCCAGCCCCCCCCAAAACACCCGCCTAGCCAAGCCCCCCTCCACAGCCAACCGCCCCCATCCAGCCAAAGCCCCCTCCAGCCAACACCCGTTGGCTGGAGGGGGGGGTGTTGGCTGGAGGGGTGTTGGAGGGGGGTGGGTTTGGCTGGAGGGGAGGGGGGGTTTGGCTGGTCGGGTTTGGTTGGAGGGGGGTTGGCTGTTGGCTGGAGGGGTGCTGGAGGGTTGGCTGGAGGGGGGGTGCTGGAGGGGGGTTGGTTGGGGAGAGGAAGGGTGAGGAAGGTGGGGAGGGGGTTGGCTGGAGGGGGGAGGGGTGCTGGAGGGGGGTTTGGTGGAAGGGGTGGGTTGGGTTGGCTGGAGGGGGGGGGGGGTGTTGCTGGAGAGAGGGGGGGTGGGTTGGCTGGAGATGGGTTGGAGGGGGGTGGAAGTTTGGAGGTGGTTGACGGGCTTGGCTGGAGTGGGGGTTGGCTGGAGAGGGGGTGGGCCGTTGGCTGGAGGGGGGCTTGGAGGGGGTGGGGTGTTGGCTGGAGGGCTTGGCTGAAGGGGCTGGTGTGGAGCCTGGAGGTGGAGGAAGGGTTGGGTTTGGCTGGAGGGGGGACTGGAGGGGGGCTTGGCTGGAGGGGGCTAGTGCATAAACACGAAAACATGCGGATTTAAACTGGTCTTTTATACTACCCCCCTGGCCGTTGCTGGTTGGCCGCCCTCCACTTATTTAAAAAACGTCACCGTAAGCTAGCCAGATGTCTGTGTGTGTGTTTGCCTGTAAGTGCCCCAGGGTCAATCAAGTTCGGCAAGGGGCTGATGGTATTGGGGGTCACATCCAGCCCAAGACCAGAAAGCAGCTGCAAAGCTCTGGGCCACACGGCGCCCAGGGAGCTGATGCACGCGTTCCTGAGTAGGAAATTCGTTTTTCGTGGTCCCAAGATGGCACCAACCGAAACGCGGTGCAGGTTTAGTGCAGTCCTCACCTCATCCGCATGGCATGGACTTGCTGATGCAAGTGTCAGGCCCACGACATCTGGGCTGAGGCCAGCCTCGCAAATACCTGGCCACTCAGCGCTTGTAGAAGTTGCTTGGCATCCGACCCTTACCCTTTACCCTTACCTTGTTGGAATGGTGTCGAGGCCACTTCTCGTTTGGCCGCTTAGCTGCATCACATGCAAGGGTGCAAGAAAAGATTAGAAGTCCGGGCCTGCAAAAAGTCCGAGCCCAGTCTCCCAGCGCTGCGCCTTGGAACTGGCAGCGATGCTTCCATTGTAGCTTACCTTGGTGGTCTTCAGAACGGAGCCTCTCATTTCTTGCTCATACGTACGGCATGCGGTGTACCAGTGTGCATGCCTGCTGTCTTATCTGTCTTTTTGGGAGCGGCACGGGCGCTCTCTTTCCTCTTCGGCCAGACCCGAGACAGCCCCTTTTCTCCGATCCCAACCTGCAGCTTCTGGAGACATAGATCAGTGGGTCGCCTCGAGCAACGTACTGCGTGGACCTTCGCCCAACAAGTCAACAAGTCGCCATTTGCCACGCGCATCCCTCGACATCCATCGGCGACGAGAGCGGAAATTGCTTCCCTCCAGTTCCTGCATTCACCGGTTCGCAAACCGCCAGGCCAAGGCAGCGTGTCGTTTGCAATCGACTGGGTGCAAGGTATGTATATAAGTCACCATAACTGGTGCATATTGATTCAAAAATCAACTGTCGACAAGTCTGCACCACCAAGCTACAAGGTCTGCCTGCAGGCCCTCAGGAAACGCAGCCAAGATGGCGAGAGCCTCTCTCCACTCTTTTTGGCGGCCTCTGGCGATGATCAGCTTGTTCCTAGGCTCTTTGACGGCTATCGTAGCAAGTACTACGAGTACAACAACTTCGCTGGACAAAGCGACAGGAACTGCTGGCCAAGGACCAACGTTCCAGCATTGCCTCCGTTGCCTCCAGTTCCAATGGTGAGGCTGCAGCCGCGCTGCAAGTGCATGGTGTGCTGCTGACCATGGCTGGAGTCGGGGCTTCGGGCCGATTCCAAACGTGCTACAGCTGCTACATCACCAGGACTCTTCTGAAGCTGGCTCTTCGTGCTTGTGCAAAGTTCAGCTATGGAGGATAGCTGTACCTTTAGTTTCTCATCAGCGTTTGCCTTAGTACAGTATTACTGGCTGAGGTTGGCATTACATGCCCAAGTTGGTTCGTTTTCTGATTTGTTGGGCCCTACAGCCCTAATTCGTGCTGAAGAGCATGTCACCTTGTCAAGTGTGTGGCATCGACACCGGACTGCCCATGACACCATGTCAAAGCAATAACGTCGATGCTTCTCTGCTCCCAGTGGTAGCAACCATGTCTGTGACTTTTTGGAATCACCAGACGGCATCCGCGCACTACTCAACGCCATGAAAAGAAGCCGGACTCGAAACCATGGGCTCATAGACGGCGGAAGATCCACGGCAACAGTGTGATTTTGCAGCTTTGGAAAGAAGTTTTGGGGTCCTTTAGGAGCGAATTCCGCCGCATTTCCGCAATTCGCCTTCTCCCGCAGCTGCAGCCGCTCCTCCGCCGCCGCAGCAGCGCCGGCCACGGCGGCGCCCAGGCCGAGGCGAGAGTCCACGGAGGCCCAGGCCTGAAGAGCGGGAAACGATTCGTGCTGCTGCTTGTCAAGACCTCCGCTCTTCTTTTCGTTTCCCAGGATGGCTTTGGGGCCAGAGACGTTCGACAATCTATGCGTCGTGCCAGTCATGACAATAACATATAATAACCAACCATGCTGTTCGCTGTGAGCTGCGGAAGTGACGTAGAGGCAATTTCACTACCACCCTTACATAGCATCACAAGTATTCCATCTGGCGTTGCCATGCCGCTTCCCAGAATTCCCTTTCGACACAGTGACTTGATGGAAGGCCTAAGTGGACTTGGCAGAAGCGATCCGAAACGGGCAGAAACACAATTTCAATTCTGTACGGACTTCTTTGCCTTGCAGGAATGCGTGTTGACTCAATCAAAGACCATGCCTTGCCCGGAGTTGCCATGAACCCCGACCGGAAGTTATACCTGAAGTTACTGCCTGAAAGGTCTCGTGAGGTCGGGCTGGGATCCCATCCGTTGCAAGGTGCTTGGGGAAACCTGGGGGGGGGGGGGGGGGGGGGCAAAGGGTTACCCGCCTCTTTGCACGCCCCTCCCTACCGGACATTCTGAATCCAGGCCTTCATGCCATGGCTTCCGGCATGCGGTGTGTGTCGTATCTGTACGCCTGCTGTGTATCATGTGCACCCCAGCCTCGCCACTCCTCGCCCACATCTTTGCCCCCTCAGCGCCTTTCCCAGGGCAGAATGCTCTGAACGTGCTACAGAAAGGTCCATGAAACCATGAAGGTCCTCAACGGTCATCAAGAAGAGAAGATTTTATAGCTTCGAGATTTAGCAGATGTATCCATTTCGGGATGTCGCTGACATTCTGGAAGCTCCAAGGCATCCCATGCCCGCCTACCCTCTCAGAGGTGGCATTGACAGCGCTCTGAAATTCGTGGAACAGGCGGCGCCCCCTCACGACCTGGTTGCCCAGCTGCTTCTGCTAATTGCTAGCCTACAGGCCGTGGGTGAGTCTTGGCCGCCAGGGCGTGTAACAGACCGAAGCAGACTACTGGACTTCCCTAAGTCTCAGGTGGGAGCAGGATCACCCGGAACGTTCGGGATGACTTCGAACTTCCACATTGCATCGAAAACGGCATTACCCGCCTGCTTTGCACTGACCGCTGCCACGCCTGGCATGGACGGACGGCTGGGCCTCCGAATCGTGGTGAGCGAGATGATCGAGCGGTGCTTTCTTGGATTTCAAACAGTGGGGGGGAACTTTGTCTTTGGGGCGTTTGGGGAAGGGGGCCATGCTATCCCGAGCCATCCCTGTCCTCGACGGCGACGCGGCATCGGAAGCGCTCTCCGACATGGCTCTCTCTTTCGGCTTCTGCAAATCTTTCAGGAAGGCTCAGAGGGCTGAGGCTCAGGGGTGGAAAGGTGTTCAAGTTGTGTTAAGCGGATCTGGAGCTCAAAGGGTTTAGAGGGCAAGGTCATGCGACATCAGTGCTACCATTCGCAGTCTTGGGCTTTTTGGGTTGCGGCGGGGACGGCCTTGAGTTTTAAAGCATCCGTCGCTTTCACGACGCCGGGCATTGGGATCAGCAGTAGTCCATGCCCCCATGGTATCCCCTTCATGGTGCGGTTGCGGTTTTCTTTGTCACCTGCCTCGCTGACCTCTCGGACACACTGCAGGGCACTATCTGGGGAAAAACGTTACGTGCCACTGAACTCAGCAGAAACTTACTTACGGTTCCGGGTCCTCTTACACACCGCGCTTAGACTAGAGTCAAGACTTTGGAGATGACCTTTTGTGACTCATGGAGGGTTTCGAGGCCCAAACACACACACACACACACACACTCTCACTCACTCACTCACTCAAACTAACTAACTGACACAATCGCACTATAGCACTAGAGCACTATAACACTATCACACTATAAGACGATAGCACTATAGCACTATAGCACTAGAGCACTATAGCTAACACACTAACACACTAACACTCTAACACACTAACACACTACAACTGCACCCCAAACGTCCCAAGCATTCCCAAGCGCTGAAGGTCGTCGGCGAGCGTGTCTGTACAAAGTCGAGCGCTGGATGCAGCTGTCTGTACAAAGGGATGTCATGGAGGAATTAACTGTCGGGACTTGATTGGGTTGCGCGGGAAACGTCTAGACGCGCAAATCCTGAGACCCAAGGCTTTGCATCTGTTCACTGTCACTACCACCGCCGCCTTCGGCATCGTTGTCCTGCCGGCAAAGGAAAACGATACAACTGCAACCGGCAAGAACCCATGCAAATTATTCAAGCCCTGACGCTGAATTCTCTGAGATCACAAACTTTGGGGCATGATCAGGAAGGGGTGGGTGGGCAGCTGGGGGGGTGGCCATCGCCTTGGACTTAATGGGAAAACTTCTAGGAAAGCCGGTAGATTCTCTTTGGATTTCGAAGGAAACCCTCTAACTTCTGAAAAAATTGAATAGGAATCCCTGCAATTCCGAATATGTTAATAGGAACATTTATGTCCCCTACAATTCAAAGGGAAACTTTTTTTCTGCATGTCGGTGGAAGAAACTCCATGATCTTTGACAAGGAACGAGATATTCCCAACGGACATCGCTAACCTTAACACCATGGCATCGAAAAGTGGGTTCGGCCTCTTTCGATGTCCGACCGACACTTTTCCAGGTTCGGGAACCTACGGAAATCGAACAAGAATCGATGACATCCAAAGCACGGACGGACGGACGGACGGTTTTCGCTTGAACCTCATAGTAACTACCAGGGATCGGGCATGGTCTTTTGGGCGGGCGGGTCCGTGGGCCCGTGGGCCCGTGGGCCCGTGGGCCCGTGGGCCCGTGGGCCCGTGGGCCCGTGAGCCCGTGAGCCCGTGCACGGGCCTGGACCTTGCCAAAACAAAACCTTGAAACACTAAGTCTTGAAACAAAGCCCCGCCCGCCTTGAAATACTAAGTCGTGAAATCCAAAGAATCCTAAAGCCTAACCCTGAAGCCTACAATCTTAAAAGCCTAAAACCTCAACTCTACTCCTAAGACTGCGAGCCTCTGGTATGTGGCAATGCAAGACTATTACAAGCTTTGGCATCATCGCGTGTAAATGGAACATGTCAGGCTTGCGTTTCCTAAGCTGCGGGGGTTCAGGACAAGGCGTTGGAAGAGTTACTTGATCCGAAGCAAACGCAAACCCAAGGTCTTGAAGCCTTGTTCTCAAAACCTAAGCCCTACTCAAACCAAGATCCTGAAACCTATAGCCACTAAACCTTAACCCTTAAACTTCAACCCTAAAACCCTAACCCTGCAAATCCTAAAGTCCCCAAGCTCTCCCTTGGAATACTAAATCTTGTAACAAAGCTCTAACCCCCCTTGAAATACTAAGCAAAGAATCCTAAAGCCTAACCCTGAAGCCTGCAATCTTAAGAGCCTACAGCCTCAACTCTACTCCTAAGAATGTGAGCCTCTGGCATGTGGCACTGCAATACTATTACAAGCTCTGGCATCATTGCGTGTACATGGAACATGTCAAGCTTGCGTTTTCCAAGCTGCGGGGGTTAAGGACAAGGCGAAATCCTAAATTCCCCAAGCCCCTACTTCGCAAAGCTTCTTTCAAGCTTTAATCACCGCAGTCGCTAGCCAAAGACCCACCTCTCCCTTTTGGAATACTAAATCTTGAAACAAAGCCCTAACCCCCCTTGAAATACTAAGCAAAGAATCCTAAAGCCTAACCCTGAAGCCTGCAATCTTAAAAGCCTACAGCCTCAACTCTACTCCTAAGAATGTGAGCCTCTGGCATGTGGCACTGCAATACTATTACAAGCTCTGGCATCATTGCGTGTAGATGGAACGTGTCAAGCTTGCGTTTTCTAAGCTGCGGGGGTTAAGGGCAAGGCGTTGGAAGATTTATACTTGATCCGAAGCACACTCAAAACCTAAGGTCTTGAAGCCTTGTTCTCAAAACCTAAGCCCGACTCAAACCAAGATCCTGAAACCTATAACCACAAAACCTTAACCCTTAAATTCAACCCTAAAGCCCTAACCCTGCAAGTCCTAAAGTCCCCAAGCCCCTACTTCGCAAAGCTTCTTTAAAGCTCTAATCACCGCAGTTGCTAGCACAAAACCCACCTCTCCCTTTTGGAATACTAAATCTTGAACAAAGCCCTAACCCCCTTGAAATACTAAGTCGTGAAATCCAACGAATCCTAAAGCCTAACCTGAAGCCTGCAATCTTAAAAGCCTAAAACCGCAACTCTACTCCTAAGAACGCGAGCCTCTGGTATGTGGCAATGCAAGACTATTGCAAGCTCTGGCAACATCGCGTGTAAATGGAACATGTCAGGCTTGCGTTTCCTAAGGACAAGGCGTTGGAAGATTTACTTGATCCGAAGCAAACGCAAACCCAAGGTCTTGAAGCCTTGTTCTCAAAACCTAAGCCCTACTCAAACCAAGATCCTGAAACCTATAGCCACTAAACCTTAACCCTTAAACTTCAACCCTAAAACCCTAACCCTGCAAATCCTAAAGTCCCCAAGCCCCTACTTCGCAAAAGCTTCTTTAAAGCTCTAATCACCGCAGTCGCTAGCCAAAGACCCACCTCTCCCTTTTGGAATACTAAATCTTGAAACAAAGCCCTAACCCCCCTTGAAATACTAAGCAAAGAATCCTAAAGCCTAACCCTGAAGCCTGCAATCTTAAAAGCCTACAGCCTCAACTCTACTCCTAAGAATGTGAGCCTCTGGCATGTGGCACTGCAATACTATTACAAGCTCTGGCATCATTGCGTGTAGATGGAACGTGTCAAGCTTGCGTTTTCTAAGCTGCGGGGGTTAAGGGCAAGGCGTTGGAAGATTTATACTTGATCCGAAGCACACTCAAAACCCAAGGTCTTGAAGCCTTGTTCTCAAAACCTAAGCCCTACTCAAACCAAGATCCTGAAAGCTATAGCCACTAAACCTTAACCCTTAAACTTCAACCCTAAAACCCTAACCCTGCAAATCCTAAAGTCCCCAAGCCCCTACTTCGCAAAAGCTTCTTTAAAGCTCTAATCACCGCAGTCGCTAGCCAAAGACCCACCTCTCCCTTGGAATACTAAATCTTGTAACAAAGCTCTAACCCCCCTTGAAATACTAAGCAAAGAATCCTAAAGCCTAACCCTGAAGCCTGCAATCTTAAGAGCCTACAGCCTCAACTCTACCCCTAAGAATGTGAGCCTCTGGCATGTGGCACTGCAATACTATTACAAGCTCTGGCATCATTGCGTGTACATGGAACATGTCAAGCTTGCGTTTTCCAAGCTGCGGGGGTTAAGGACAAGGCGAAATCCTAAATTCCCCAAGCCCCTACTTCGCAAATCTTCTTTCAAGCTTTAATCACCGCAGTCGCTAGCCAAAGACCCACCTCTCCCTTTTGGAATACTAAATCTTGAAACAAAGCCCTAACCCCCCTTGAAATACTAAGCAAAGAATCCTAAAGCCTAACCCTGAAGCCTGCAATCTTAAAAGCCTACAGCCTCAACTCTACTCCTAACAATGTGAGCCTCTGGCATGTGGCACTGCAATACTATTACAAGCTCTGGCATCATTGCGTGTAGATGGAACGTGTCAAGCTTGCGTTTCCTAAGCTGCGGGGGTTAAGGGCAAGGCGTTGGAAGATTTATACTTGATCCGAAGCACACTCAAAACCTAAGGTCTTGAAGCCTTGTTCTCAAAACCTAAGCCCTACTCAAACCAAGATCCTGAAACCTATAGCCACAAAACCTTAACCCTTAAATTCAACCCTAAAGCCCTAACCCTGCAAGTCCTAAAGTCCCCAAGCCCCTACTTCGCAAAGCTTCTTTAAAGCTCTAATCACCGCAGTTGCTAGCACAAAACCCACCTCTCCCTTGAAATACTAAATCTTGAACAAAGCCCTAACCCCCTTGAAATACTAAGTCGTGAAATCCAACGAATCCTAAAGCCTAACCTGAAGCCTGCAATCTTAAAAGCCTAAAACCGCAACTCTACTCCTAAGAACGCGAGCCTCTGGTATGTGGCAATGCAAGACTATTGCAAGCTCTGGCAACATCGCGTGTAAATGGAACATGTCAGGCTTGCGTTTCCTAAGGACAAGGCGTTGGAAGATTTACTTGATCCGAAGCAAACGCAAACCCAAGGTCTTGAAGCCTTGTTCTCAAAACCTAAGCCCTATTCAAGCCAAGATCCCAAGCTTCTGGAGCCTTAGAACCTTATAGACCCGCAATTCCCGGCGCTTTGACTGACTGCGGCAGTTTTGTTTGTATGAGCCATGATGTGGACATGCGTCCGAGCCCATGCTACATCCGACGCCATAGCGGTCCCACAGTGTCTCCCGGACGATACTCAGCCTAAACTGTAAACCTTTCATCCTAAACCCTATAGCCCTCATCCCCGAACCCGAAATACCTTCTTCAAAGCTGTAATCACCGCAACAGCACCGGTTTTCTCCCCAAACCCGAACGCTTTCTAAGTCTGGGTATGGGTTTGAGGCGTTCTCGAGCAGGGTTTTCGCGAAGTTGACGTGGCTTGTAGTCTCGTGCCTTGTCAAGCGACCTTTGTGACAATTTGAGAGTGGTAGACGACAAGGTGGGGAGCGGGATTAAACCGGCAGCAAAGATTTTTGGTGGTCAGGATAGCGTAGAGCGATAGGCAGAAGTTATAATTGATAGTAACGACATTACAAGCCTGGGCTGTGGGCCCATGGGCCCGTGGGCCCGTGGGCCCGTGGGCCCGTGGGCCCGTGGCCCGTGGGCCCGTGGGCCCGTGCGCCCGTTCATCTTCTTTAAAGAGGCCTGCCCGTGGAACAGGGTATTCTCCAGGGATCCACGCTATGTTTCAGGGGCTCTTGCAGCGGGGGCCTCTAGGTTTTCGCTTCAACCTCATAGAGGCCCTTCTTAATAGTAACTATCAAGGGACCTCGGCTATGTTTCAGCTGCTCAAATCGGACGGACGGAGACGGACGGACGGTGGGAGGGAGTTTTTCGCTCTCGTGAACTTTTTTGATGTCGGGGCTAGATGTCTTTGGATGTCGGAGTACGCGAGGTACTTTTTGAGGTCTGTTTTCGATGTCATTCTTTCGATGTTATGGAGTTTTTTGATGGCCGGGCGGCCGGGCGTGCTGTCCCAAGAGGGATCTATCTCACTTGGTGTGCATCGACAACAAAGTCTAGGGCTGCAACGAGGATAAGTGGGCCTCGTCCCAAGCAGGAAACTAACAGACGCTTACAGACAAGAGCGTGCAGTAGGTTTTTTCCTGGCTAAATCTCTTGGACCCTCAAGCTCAGGTGAAGGCCGGTTTGAGCCCCACTGTCATTTGGTCTGGAAAGCGTTCCAAAGACGCTGCTTTTTGGAAATGATCCCAAATGCAGGGATCAAAGAAGATTGCGAATCCATAACAAACATTCAATCTTGCTGCCTGTGTGGTGGCCGGATCGTCCTGGGCCACAATTTCCCGACTTGAGCTTAACTTAATTGCCTCATGCTCTTGCACGTACTGTAGCGAAGTCAGTGGAGGTGCCAGCAACTCCCCTCCGAGGTGATGAGATGCATGTGGAAAGGGCTCTCTGGGGGCTTCTCTGAGGCGAGGAGAATAGTTGACTTACAATCTAACAAGCCCGCACCGAGTGTGGGGGGGGAAAAACATCGACGAGCCACCTCAACCTGAGCTTGAAACTGCCCAAGCATCCTCCACGACCGCCTCCTGCTGCTTGGCCAACTGAGCCCAGGCCTTTCATTCTTGATTCGGAGGGGTTCAACTCGAGGGCACAGGACAATATGTCAAGCCACATGTCTCGTGGCTTGGGCATAAGGCGTGTGTTGTGGTGTGCCTTTTTGTGTTATCCTGGGCCGATGTGACACGCCTTATCGAACGTACTGATGGAACAGAACAGCTTCTGATGCAGCGGATTCTGCAGAGCTACGTAGGCATTGAGGATCCTCCAGGCCCCGCGAGGCCTTGAGATCACGCTGGAAGTTCTCCGGGCAGCGCGCAGCCGGCTGCGCCAGGCCTAAGTCTCAGAGTATTCACAGCGTATCCACCATCCATCGGGAGAAACAAAGCTTCTCGATGTTAAGTGCTTCATGTTTGTGCCCCACCCGCTATTAAATGGCTTCAAGGCAGCTCAGGCTAAAAACGCAGTGGGAAAGGGCTTCCACCGTCTACCCAAGATCGAAGATAAGAAGGAATGTCTGGAGCAGTCTCGCTGTTTCAGGCTCTCCTCCGTCTCTAGCACCTGCCGGTTTTACTTGTTTCGGGTACTTTTTGGGCGATCAAAGCTTACGGAAAAAGCTGCAGCTGCAACTTCAGGGGGTTCTGATTCTCGGGGCCGAGGGCCACAACTACTGCCTTGGTGCCTCACGCACTTCCAGTGAGCCTCGACCCCTAAGGCAGCGCAGTGAGATCCGATCCGAGGCACTGCACACCTCGAACGCTTCAGCAGGCGTCAGGCTCTCGTATTTCCTCAGCTTGAAGACGCACATGGTGCAACACCAGGCAGGCTTCTGCTAAAGTAAGGCCCTTTCCTGGCTTGTTTGGAGGGGTATATCTATCGTAGAGTCAATATTTCCCAATCCTTTCTATAATCTCAGAACTTGGAGGTGGTACAGGATGAACATCGGGCAGCATTGAACATCGGTCCACCATCATGCACTTCTTTTTTGACTTTATCACCTTCAAGTAAAGGAAACCTTATACTTGGATTACTATTCACGCATGTGTTCCGCGACTTGCGCTTGATGGACGCTGCGATGACGAACAAGTAGCATATGCTCATACTTAGAATTTGACCCTCGTATGCCACAAAGGCCCTCCACGACTTCCTGCAGCTGTTCAACCTCTTGCGACTCTTGCGTTTCAAGCAATCGATGGCATGGCATCCCTCCTATTGCCCTACTCACTTCGAGTTTGCCAACGTGCAAGTACACATTGTGATGTGGCCGGGAGTCATGAGATACGCCACCAGGAGAGAAGCAGAGCGATTGATGCCACCCTGCACACCAGGAGAAACCGTGAAGTGGAGCGCTTGGATGTGCACAACAAGGATCCGGCTTCTGCAACTTGCATTCGTCGCGTCGCTTGTTAGCTTTGCACGCACACCTGATTCTCTCTTGATCATGCGCCAGCTATAAAGTGCCACGGCAAAGGTGAGGCCCCCTTCATGGAGTTTTCATGGACATCATTCAGCTGGTGAGAAAGGGCACGTGGCGCTTTCGACTTCAGAAGCCTACGGTTCAGGCGCCTGGGAGCACTGAGCCTCATTGAATGCTTTCGCTAGGCTAGGGAGTCTATGAAGATCTATGCACAAACTACACAGACACCCAGGGTGCTATATGAAAACGGGGAATGCCCACGAGGCCCTCGCGAGCTGAGAAAGGCCTTGCAGTGGACCAGCACAGCCCCCCGGCTGGCTTGCGTATGGATGAAGTCGCAGCTGGCCTTCTCAGGGCTTCCTTCCTTTTTGCAGCTGACTTGGGGTTCAACTGCTGCTGCTATCGCTTTAGGAAAGCAAGGCGAAAACGCGATGCCCTTGAATTGCGTATGCCCTTCCGCTCGCAACTGCTGCCAGCTCGAGCTGCTTGAAGACAGGCTGCGATAGTGCTGGCTGCAAAACGGTAGACTAGGCGCCACCCTGCCCGGGAAGTTTGCTTGGATGTGTGCCAGCCTCCAAGAAGGGCAGCATGGAGCTGTCTCCATCATCCTGCCCAGGAGGCCCAAGTTCAAGTCCAGGTGGGCTTCCGTGACTTCAGTGTTCAAGTTGTGAGTCTTTTCTTGTTGACTAAGGGTCCTGACATGGTCGGGTTGGTGCCCGGACTTGCAACATGTGAGCTATTATTGTCACAAGAGTAACCCTTGCCAGGAAGTCAACCCCAACCCTGTGCTCCTCAACTCTGACGTGGTGGTAGACGAGACCAGGGTGGCCATGGGGCCTGTTCTCAGGGGCCTTGCGTCTTCGAAGCTTCAAACATGCGCGCTATGCTACTCGCCATCGCCTCGGCACTGTGGAGGAGCTTAAAGCAGTTTACAGTTCCAAGGGCTATTCGGCTATTGCCTTAGCTTCTCCAGGCACAGCTCAATACAGCACTGGACACGGCTCTGGCTCTTCTTTTAGCATGCCGCTCACTCGCTGACATGTTGAGACTGCGGGCACTGACCGATGTCACTCCTCTGCCATCAACATCCACTCGCCCTCTCTTCAAAAATTAGCAGCACGCCCCACCTCGCGCCGATGGCACAAACGGCTGTGATGCCTCGAAGGCCCAAGGGATTAGAGGGCGGGTTGTTGGGAATTTTGGGGATGGCGCAGACGAGCGTGGTGCGGAGACTTAGAAGGCTGCCGAGAGGCCGTTGCGGGCAAGGAGTTCAGCATCAGCAGCTGCCTCTCGGCAGGGCAAGCTGCGGAAGCCGATGCATCAGCGTAGGCAACTCCTCCGCAATTATATGACAAAGCTTCCCATCTCAAATTATTCAACAAACGCGAGAGTCACAATGATCCATAAACTCCCAAGTTCGCACCCTAAGGCCCTGAGGCCCTCGAAATGGAAAAAGAGAGCTCGGCAGTTCAACAAGCGACAGTCGCAAATTGTCACGGTTGAGGGTTTGCAAGGATTTGCGAAGTTTAGGGCTTGTTTGCAGTACTGCTAGACCAGAAGCAACAGTCGCCTTCTAGTCGGCTTGAGACAGGCCCTGATGTAGGGGTCAGTTTCGTTTTTGGGATGCAGCCATGTCCGCCCCTGTGTCCGTCGGCTATTTTGAAGCAAGGATTGAGGGCGCCAGCACCTCTGAGACTCTTTCGAATCTAATGATGTGACTGCTGAGACCCCGAGAACTCGAGTCTCAACTCATCCTGAACCGAACTTAACCTTCTGGGCCTGCTTGTTGCTCAAGTAGATCCCAGGCGCCACCTGCATCAACCCACGTCCTCCAGCTGTCGGGCACTTCTGAGGCAATTTCAAAATTCAAAATTGACACGACAAATTCGACAAACAAGCAACATGCTTTCACGAACGCACATGACCAATGCAAGAAATAGGATAGCGCTTAGCAAATTAATGCCTTCGAACAGCGAAATAGAAGCAAAGGCAAATTTAACGTTCAACCATGAGATGTATACTTGAATCATCTTGAATCCGAAAGCACTTGCAAAGCCTCGGACCTCTCCACGCTAGGCCAGGGGACCCAAGGGGTTCTCAGGTTCTCAATGCAGTCAACGGCGAAAGGGAGTAAGGTACCGTACCGGGGCCCCCGGGATTCCACAGAGAAAGCCACAACTTCATGCAAATCATGCAATCCATATCGTCGCTGCCCGGGATTCTCGGAAGCCTTTGCGCCATTGGGTGCGGGCCCACTCGACCAGCGCCTGTTAGCTCCCCATCACAGCCACCAATTCGATCACAAAAGCCACCGAGTTTGCCCGAGGCTGAGGTGTTGGCGCTGTTGGAGCTGCTGGCGCCGGTGCTGGCCTGAGGGCTTGAAACGCAAGGGAGCGTAAGGGGACTGCTGTTCTCCTACGTCGACTCCTTTATGGTGATAGTACAAGGGGCCTGGCTCGCTCCCCAAACAAGGTCACAATTCAGCTTCTGTGTGCCGACAATGCCTCGTCAAAATGTCGCAGCCCAGTGGCCAAAGCGGCCAAAGATGCCATTTTGGGCCGATCCGCCATGGCGGCACCGTGGGCTCTTGCAAAGCTCCGGGATTGACGATGTAAGCCATCGCACATACTGCATTTTAAGAAGGACATTACTGTATAAATGATGGGCTTGAATGGATTCGAATGGGAAAAGCAACTTCTCAGTTCTCCTGCACCGACTCCGTGCCCCAGCTGTTTGTGGCCCTCCGAGAGGGCTTTTTGCTTCATGGCAAAGCTGCAACATGCTGCAATACCGAAGCCTCCAAGATCGAACCTACTATGTCTTGGGCCACCGGATGCGAATAAACCCAAACCTCGAAAAGAGAACTTGGTTCTCAAGCTCCGCCGACTAGCCCACATTACACCACATTCTGCCCTTAAGCCTGGAAAAGACGAGCACAGAGCCGCCTGGTCGCTTCGAAGCTTCTACTAGGCAAGGAAATATCACCTGAAAGCGCTAGGTCAATTCTTGGCATATCCAAGTTCTGGAAGGAATCTGTTTGCTCCATCGCGCTCCGTCTGCGCCCCTCCATTGTTGCTACCGGGGCAGCCGAAGAAAAAGCCTGGCTCGGAGGCGCCAGCTGGGGCAGTGCCATCTAGCTTCCAGTAATTATTGCCGGTTTATGAGAAGGTTCACACCGACAACTTGTCGACGATTTAAATCTGCAGGCCAGAGCAAGCGAAGACGTGCACCTCGAATTTCTTACTCAACCGCTGCCTGAAGCACGATGTCCGCACCTACTTGGTTCACCTAATGGTTCACCTGAGCGCATCCCCGAGGCTGATGAACGAACGTAGTCACTGAGCTCTCCAATACCATGATGAAGCTCGCATTGTTGCGACCAGCCTCTGACATCCGCGGCACCCTCTAGCCAGATCCCCACCTGGACTTGCACATTGCAAAGGGTTGACATGGGCCCCTCGCATGGGTGCGAAGGGAAGCAATGCTCAAAATGCATTCAAAAGAGCCCAAGAATGCCACAACAGCTAGCTCTTACTCTTATGAAGCTGTTCTTGAAATTGCGTCCTCACCTTCACATGAAGAGATAGGATAGATCTGGCTTGTGCGTGCCAACCTTAGAGGACCTCCCTGCATCACTTGCAACCCGATGCATGCTTAAGTCTGATCTTCTGTTCGGAAAAGAAGCTCTCGTCCGAAGACTTCCGTACCAGGCCGGGCGGCAACTCCTGCAACGAGGGCTGTGGCGAATGCGAAGGCGAGCTTGCTGGCTCCTGGCAAGGCGGCGTCTTCTCGCAATGGTTCGCTGCTTGAGATTCAGGCCTTCAGGCCATGTGTGATCGATCTTGCTGCTACGTCTGAGATAAGCTGCAAAGAAGCTAGCTGTGCCGGATCAAGATCCAAAATTGTGGAATGTTGTGCAAGATACACCGACACCATGCGCGAGCAGACAACTTGTTCGTGTCGAAGGTTGTGGTGGGCTACATCTTCAGCGTCAGCCTGAGGGTACAAGATCGAAGGGTCCTCCCAAGTTGGAACTCAAGGTCTCTCCAGCTGGGGGCTGCGAAGGGGGACTCCAGGGTGTTCAGATGAGGGCATGCTCACCGCGTCCCGCAATCATTTTAACACTGGCTCAAACTGTCCCATTCTCGTGATCTCTCCTGGCAGCCACGCCTGTACAAGACTCTTAAGCCGTTGACACTCCTTGAAACACTTACAGGTTGTGATCTTGCTGCGTCATCATCTTGTTTCAGAAGGTCTTCTTCTTCTTGTTCTTCTTTCACAGGAGCTGTCCCTAAACGGCTCAGGCAGCTCGAATTCGTGACACTTTGGTTCTAAGCTAAGGTTCATGCGCTGGTGATCCCCGTGGGCCGCTGTAACAGCACTCGGTGGGGAGGTTCACAGCATGTCTGAGCAAGATGACTGATCGTTGCACACGTGCAGCAGTCGAAAGTGGAAGCCTGAGGTACAAGACGTACTTGAGGACGCGTGAGCCGAGAGTCGGTTTCAACCTGCTTTCGGACAGGCATACTTATGATGGAGATCTTTGAGTACTTCTGAGTAGGTGCCCAAGCGGATCGCCATGGAAGATTGGCCTCGCGTGTTCCGGTTCGATCCGTTGTTTGGTCGTTTTTGTGGTCCTGGACCGAAGATGGCCGAAGGGCTGAGCCTATGCCATGCTAAGCGAAGTCACCACAAGCCCTGAACCCGAGGCCACCCTGGCAGCTTGTCGCGGCCCGTGGCTGACTTCCGTCGCGGACTTCCGTCGCCGACTTCCGTCGCCGACTGGCACAAGAGCCCTCTTGGCACACTAACATCGTGCAGGAGATGCTTGGAACCCTCCATTGGGTTGGCTTGCCCGTCTGAAGCCTCTTGTATTTTGTGGATGGGATATAAATCATATATATCTCGCAAAATATACATATGTGTATTACAGCACGCATGGTGACGTACTCCTAGCCACCTCAGCCTGGGCCTCCAGAAACTTCCAGCCATCGAATTCTGGCGGAGCTACCATCCTGTGATGAAGGCAGACATTGGCCGCAAGACTAGGAAAACTTTTCCAGATCTGGCCACGTCTTATTCCTGCAGCTTCTTGGTCATGAACTCCTGCGTTTTCCTTGGCGTTTCGGCGAACCCCAAGATCCAAACCCACATCTCATGGTGAGCTTCTGAACCCCAAAGGCTATGCACGGAAGCTCCATGATAAGGTCGCTCCAGGCTGGCGAGCTTCCGGTCCATGCGGGCCTCCCGGAATGTCTCTGAGTTTTGATGCCAATAGCGAAGAATCCTGGCAAGGGCGTGTCGAAATGGTTCGGGGAGTTCGGGCTTCAAAGCGCAGGGCTCAGCATGCGGGATTTGGGATGGTTTTTGCGGCACTGCCGGTGCTTTGCTCGAAGTCTGAACAAGCTGCCGAAAGCCAGGGCGCTTCTCTTTCATCTCCTTCTCATGGGGGTCGAGCAAGCTTCGTGCTGCCTCCACGGGTGCAGCTCTTTCGCTTCCGAGGGGGCGCAACAGCCTCACAGCCCCCTACTTAGCCCTAATTTTTTGGAACTTGAACCCTTCGAACTGTACTTTGGGGAATGATGGCTGTTTGAGCGAACTTGTTAATGCTTCAGTTGCATGACTCGCTTGCGTGGATGTTTACGAGTTTGCCCTTAGCTTGGATACAGACCCTGATCACAGACACCTGATGGCGGCAACCAAGCCCACAAGAACAAGGTGGATTTTTCGATCAAATCAGGGATTCCCAGCTGCGTCTTTGAACTTCTGATAGATGCTGGTTGCTGCCCATGCTCGATGGAGCCTCGACAGACGTGAGGCCATAGTAGCAGCCGCCTGTCGTCCCGGGGTCCTCTGCATGGGTGGATAGTGTGGAACTGACAAATGCTACCTTTCGCGTTGCTTGATTGCAAACCTCGGATTATTCAAGCCCGACTTCCTGAACCGAGAAGATGTTGGTCACATCCATGTTGGCTTCACTAGGCTTCGCTAGGCTTCCCTAGGCTTCGGGGTTCATTCACAAAAACTACGGACTGTCTAAACCCCCATGATCCTGTCACCACTGTGACCGCCCCTGTGACAAGCTGTGTTAACTGTGTCAAGTGGCAAGGTTCCAGGAGTCGAGGACACGGCTGCAAATGACGTGTTCATGCCTTCGCAAGTCTTCACAGAAAGGTATTGGGTGCAGGGTGAGGTTGAAAATCTGTCTTTGCACTTTGCTGCATGGTCTCTGGAGTGTTCCAGCGTCAGGCTTTGGGACTTTGAGCTTGGGCTATTCGACTTGTCAGACCCCTAGCCGCAATGCCGGGACCATCTAGTGTTAAATCTAAACAGCCATTCCGTGTGTTGCGAAAGGTCGGGGAATCATGATAATCATAAATCATGACGGCCGGAGCAAATCGCTGCACCAGCTTTCAAGCACCAGTTTTGCTTGAGTTGCCCTCAAGCTGGCTGCGGGCTGGCGTCTCACAGGTGTCCCGCACCAGCTTTCAAGCACTGTAGTTGGCAGGCTGGTGCCCCGGACTAACTTTCAAGTCAAGCTGGCTGCGGGTTGGCGTCCTGCACCAGCTTCCACGCACCAGGTTTCCATTTCAAGCGCACCAGCTTTCAAGCATTGGCTGGTTTCAAGCTGGCTGCGGCTGGTGTCCCGCACCACCTTTCAGTCCTTGAGATGCAAGCCTCCGAAGCGCTGCAGAAGGACTCTCAAACAACTTGCTGCAGCGACACCAGGCGTCAGGCCCAGCGGCCAAACAGTTAGCCAGGTCACTCGTAGGAAGCGTTGGTAGCTGCCTGCGGTGGCAAAGGTTTCAAGGGCATGTCGGGCTCAGGCGAAAGCTGTCTGCCTCTGCCCATCACAAACGACATGGCGCGCCATGCGTGCCTGGACCTTGTTTACCGAAGTCCCAAACGGAAGCACACTTTTGAGTAGCGCCACGGTTGCTGGCACTAAACAGTGAATCCCCAGCTAAAAACTCGAAGCCGCCCAAAATCAGCTGCGGCCTGAAGCAGGGACTTGGACTGCTCGGCAGACAGGATGGGGTGCTCCAGCTCAGACAACTTTGCGGCCAGGGCCTTCTGGATTGTAGCATGCGGTTTGAATCCCAAGACTTTGCAGAACCGCCAAGCAGCCCTGGTGTTCGCTCGCGCTCGCCCTCTCTCTCTCTCTGTCTTTCCTTCTCTCTGTCACTTTCCTTCTTCTTCTTCTTGAGAAGGAAAAAGGGAAAGAGAGAGAGAAGAGAGAGAGAGAGAAAAGAAAAGAGAGAGGGAGAGAGAAGGAAAGAGAGAGAGAGAGAAGGACAGAGACAGAGAGAAGGAAAGAGAGCGAGAGAGAGATACACAGCCCGTGCAGCGCGCAGCAGCAAGCATCGAGGCACTTCAGGCTATGGCATCGAATGAATTGTTCGTGCTCCCCAACACTCTTCATCACAGGGAACGGAACCCACCCCCTTCAACACAATTCGGAAGTAGCCCTAAAGCCACACACATCCCCAAAACCTCCAGTGAGCTGTGCCTGGGGTTCGAGGCCCTTCTTCACCCAACCGACGAGGCTGCGGAACATCGGCCCTGGAGACTTGAAACTTTTCTGCCGTCACATACGCTCACATTCTCGGGCACCCTTACTTGCAGTCCAGGCAAAACCTCTGATTGAAAGTTTCCGTTCCAAGTTGCTAGGATTGCAAGAGGATTGCAAAAGCCCGTCCAAGTCAATCAAGTGCCCACCCTCCTGTCTGACAGAATAGTCTGAGTGGCCACCTGTTCCGAAACTCGAAGCCTGGCCCTGCAAGCCCTGAACAAAACAAAGCATGCATCCGCCCGCGTCCGCTCGACATCAGTTGTTTGGGGGGTGGAGTTTGGGGTCTTTCTGCTGTCCTTCCTTCTTTGATCCTCTATTTCCTATTTTCACTTTTCGATGTTGTCTTAACAGGAAGGCCGTCTAGTTTCTCGATGTTCCACAAGGGAATCGACTTTGCTTCTTATAGGCCCGCTTCCTTGGATGTGAAAGGGACGACCCCTATTCATCTATGTGTCAACTGGAAACCTTTCTTGAATAATCCGCCCGCCTCCTCTGTATTTTAGTAGGTTGTGAAGTTGTGATACTTCGTTTGTCAGTGGACACCCAACACTTGCAGCCTGAACCTGTATAGAGGCTGCGAGCTTCAGGTTGCAACTCCTGGCCCTTAAACCAAACCGGCCTCTGAATTGCCCCTCCTTCCGGAATTAACGCATAAACGTTCGAATGTCATAGTTCATAGGACTCAACTGAAATTTTGAAGGGAGGGTGTTGTACAGCGTGTTTCCAACTAGCAGACTTACGTCTGAAGATTTCATGGCATTTCCAAAAAGACGTTCCTGGAGTTCTCATAAGATACTCGCAGGATGTCGTGGCATTCATTCATAGCGTTTCGATTTCATAAGACTACCTCATTTCTCATTTCTGAGTGGTCACACCTTTCCGCGGAGGGTTTTCCTCCATACGTTGAAAGGACTCAAACCCTAGAGGAGATATAGATATTGTCCTCTATACACTTTTACTGCACATAAGGTATTTCCTCTGAGCATGATACAAACTGGAAACGAGGCTTTGTAGGAAAAGCCGACTGAAGCTAGGAAGCAAAGGCCCCCCTCCCCCCGAAAAAAGACATGCCCCAAGCTAGGCTTATCCCATGTTTGGCCGCCCCTTGTAGAACACCCTGAGCCTGGCATGAAGACTGGTTCCGGAAGAGATGGGATGACTTTGTCCAGGTGCTGTCCTTGTACGCGGAGGCATTCT